TCCCACTGTCCTCTGCTCAGTTTGTGCTGGCGTGTCTGGCTTCAGCGTTTGCTGCACTAGTCCCGCGGGTCGCCGTCGGTGACTCAGGAGAAACAAGGGATGGGTTCAGTAAGTAAGGGAGGGAGATCCCACATGGTGGGGGCTTGCGACGACGTAGAACAATGGGTGGATCATTTAGAATTTGTGTCGTGTCGTGGAATGGAATGGAAAGGGAGAAGCCCCCCGGGGGGGGGAAGTCTTTGTTCTGAGGAAATCCCTATCAAGTTCTCACAGAATGTCGTCGCGAGTCTGTCTACCTTGTTCCATTCTCGAGAACGCTATGGCTATGACAAGCATGCGCAACCCGTGCTTTGTTTAAGTATGCTCATCGCAACCCCTCAGTTCCGTTACCCGCGTTCCAAAGGAGCTTACCCGCAACCTACTCTGCATAAACCATCGTGCCATCCTCTGAATACGCCAATTATCGGAATCAGATAACAGCAGCATGGCGCAGTTGGAAGCGCGCGGGGCCCATACAAGAGTTGCATCTGTAACCCCGAGGTCACTTGATCGAAACAAGTTGCTGCTATCCTTGGTTTATCTTCTTTTAAAAAAAAAAGTGAAGAAGAATTTTTTCTCATCCGCTACGGGGGGTGCTCTTTGGAGGCTGAGAGATACTTAGAGATGTACCTTGCTAATCTGACCTCCACTTGTAAATACGTCAGTTGGGCATCCAACTCCTGTACAAGGGTTGCTCCTGTACAATGCAAGTCTTCACCGCATCTGCGTTGGGCTTCCACGCTCAGGCCTATCATTGCACATTTTGAGATCTTGATTCAACGTGTGATGAGGCTTTGACAAATATTTTACCAGGGCGACACATCACTAGCTAGATAACAAAGTTATAATTGTGACGGGTTGTCAGGCTGAGAGATACTTAGATGTACCTTGCTAATCTGAGCATTTGCCTCCCTCCACTTGTAAATACGTCAGTTGGGCATCCAACTCCTGTACAAGGGTTGCCACTCGTAAGTGCCTACCTGTACAATGCAAGTCTTCGCCGCATCTGCGTTGGGCTCCCACGCTCAGGCCTATCATTGCAAATTTTGAGATCTTGATTCAACCTGTGATGAGGCTTTGACAAATATTTTACAAGGGCGACACATCACTAGCTAGATAACAAAGTTATAATTGTGACGGGTTGTCAGGCTGAGAGATACTTAGATGTACCTTGCTAATCTGAGCATTTGCCTCCCTCCACTTGTAAATACGTCAGTTGGGCATCCAACTCCTGTACAAGGGTTGCCACTCGTAAGTGCCTACCTGTACAATGCAAGTCTTCGCCGCATCTGCGTTGGGCTCCCACGCTCAGGCCTATCATTGCAAATTTTGAGATCTTGATTCAACCTGTGATGAGGCTTTGACAAATATTTTACAAGGGCGACACATCACTAGCTAGATAACAAAGTTATAATTGTGACGGGTTGTCAGGCTGAGAGATACTTAGATGTACCTTGCTAATCTGAGCATTTCCCTCCCTCCACTTGTAAATACGTCAGTTGGGCATCCAACTCCTGTACAAGGGTTGCCACTCGTAAGTGCCTACCTGCGTTGGGTTTCCACGCTCAGGCCTATCATTGCAAATTTTGAGATCTTGATTCAATCTGTGATGGATGAGGCTTTGACAAATATTTTACCAGGGCGACACATCACTAGCTAGATAACAAAGTTATAATTGTGACGGGTTGTCAGGGCAGTGGTTTCACCATCAGAACAATTCTGTAAAAAAAAAAAAAAAGGTGTGTTGATTACAATACTTCCAAGGCGATCCAATGATATCTAGGACGAGAAAGTATTTTATTTCACACACACATATATATAACACCATCGAACGGTCATCGACAATTCCAAAGGTATTTATTTAAACCAACAGAGGAGATCACCTCATTGTACAGTTTGGGTATAATAAGTACCTCGGACCGATCTTACTCTACTTGTGCCACTGGATATTTAGAGGCACTGGCTGTAGTAGGGGTTACCAGATTGGGGGGTGCAAGTGCTGCCTGTGGCGCAGACGGTGGGTCCAGTCCAACCGATACCACCGCTAGAAAGAGATGATTTATCAATGAAATAGATACTTGAGGGTGTGAGCAGATAAAAACTTACCATTGACCCCATTTGGCGGCAGTTGCGGTGGAGGCAGCGGCGCTGGTGGTGGAGGTGCTGGTGGTGGAGGCCTTGGTGGTGGTGGTAGAGGTAGAGGTGGTGGAGGCCTTGGTGGTGGTGGAGGTCGAGGTGGTGGAGGTCGAGGTGGTGGAGGCCTTGGTGGTGGTGGAGGATGTGGAGGTGGTAGAGGCCTTGGAGGTGGTCGAGCTGGAGGACGAGGTGGTTCCGGAGTAGGTGGAGCCAATGTCACCGAAGCGGATGTTCGAGTAGGTGACCGAGGCGTTGGGGGTGTTGGCCTCGACGGTGGCCGGGACACCAGAGGTGGTGGCACACGTTCCACGGGCAACACCAGGAGCAGTGGCGTTGGCGGTGGTGGGGTAGGTGGAGTCGAGCCACAGCATGTCAACTGCGTAGTCATCCCAGATGCTCAGGACCAAAACCATGCCGTTCTTTCCAGCAACACCCATCTGCTTAAGACCACCCTTGGACTGGAACGCAGTCTGGTCGCCGAATGCAGCCTTCTGCGCGTCGCAAAGAGGCCCGGTGATCGAGTTGTAGGTGTTGGCGGTGAT